GAACAAGCCGTGCAGCGACGCGTCTCATGCCTAAATTTTCCACCAAAATTAAACGAACGGATTCGCGAGAGATGTTCAGGTGTTGTGCTACCTCTCTAATACTCACATGACGATTTTTAAGAACGATTGCTTTCAATTTGCTGATGTTTTCATCGGTGTTAGAGGTGGATGGTCATCCAGACCTAGGCAAGTCGTTCACGACTTCTCGTCCTTCACTGAATGCTTTATACCATTCATATGCTTGAGTTTTCGATAAAACCATAAGTCTTTTGTAACATTCGCAACGCTTCAGCGCACAAAATTCCGTTGGATACACAAAATTTGAGACAAACTCATTGTTCAATTTTATATCCATTACAAAAATCGCGGAGCACAGCTGAGGTGAACTTACAAAACTAGCTGTTGTAAACAAACTAGTTGACATATCCCGCTCAAATCTCGCTTCTTAATTGAGAATGGACCTACTAACTTGGCAAAAAAAATTTTTTCCAAATTTAAACGGGAATTTCCGGGTACTTTATTGTCATAATGTATGAACAATATTTTGATGGAGGTATTTGATGACTGCAAGAGTATATAAGCTTCGGTTTGCCGAAGCTAGCTTTCTTTCTTGTTTTTTTTTTTGTTTTAGATTTTTTTGTCAAATGATTTGTTGCTGCAGGTTTTAACTTGTTTAAAGTTCGGTTTGCGCTTGTTAACGTTTGTTACCATTTGGTCACCACATAGAGATAGAGGTTAGGGGCATTTTTTGTAGTTTGTGTTATAGGAATATTACACATGAGTATTAAATTGAATTTAAAATTTTACTGTTTCTTCTAAACGTCTCTATAAATGATACTTTTAGATTTGTTAATAGTCCGAGGAGTCATTTAAACAAAAAAACTATCATCCCTTAAGTTGTAGCAAAACAAACTTTTATGAGTAAATGAAGTCTTTTAAACTGAAATAATAGTCTGGTGGTATTTGGGGATTTCATAGTATAAAAAAGAACCCCGAGACTTCTATTACATTTTTATGAAGACCTTTTACTTGCAGTCTTTAACCGTTAGATAATGTTGGAGAGCTTAAATACCTTAACAACATTCAAACCTTCACCAACTTTTTGTTGGTTAGATTTATTTCAATTATTACCCCCTGTTTGTGGGGAAGACAACGAATATGCCACCCTTGTTAATAATAAACGCACGAGTAGGTTTAAATTATTTGAGTATTTATTTGGAGCTGCAACTCTTCGTTTTATATGCTTTCGAATATGTTTTACAATGTGTGCGAAATTAGTGTGTGTTGGATGTTGACTGAGGTGAGATAAGCCGAAAGTGCGGCTTTTTTATACCGTCGCTTTGACGATTATAGATAACATAAATAGATAAACAAAGAGAGGCTTGAAGAGCGGCTCCTAACTTCCTACACCTATGTGTACCTAATTAGGTACTGGCGGTCTGCTCCGAACATACTCCTCCCGTTGGAAGAGGTACGGTTCCAACTTGCTGGGAATCGATGAACGGTTTGGAGGCGGCTGCCCGTAGCTGTCGAGACCATAGCTACTCTGACGATGCCGTCCTCGCCGGGTATGACTTCTTGAACGCGTCCAACGCCAATTGCTCTGGCTAAGAAACCCTTACTCCTTGGCTAAGTGAACTTGCTGGATGCTCCTTTGGAGAAGTACGGTCCCCGAGTTGATCTCCTCAACGGAAAGATGGCGATCTGAAGGTAAAGCCTTGGCTCTGCAATTCGAAATAAAGCGAAACATGTATCGAAATAGAGATATAGAAAGATCAAAGCAAACGGATCCAATTAGAGCTGCGGAACGACGCTCCGGAAGATCCTCTCCTACATCTAGCAGGTATGTCCATTCCGACGAGTTTTGCAAAGTTTTCCGAAGGGAATACTCCAGAGGATCTCTAGGGGTACAGCCTCGTGACCCGACATCCGCCGGATTGAGATTGGTTGGAGCATGATGCCAAGACATTCCTTTCGTCATCTCCTGAATTTTTGCGATTCGGTTGGATCCGTCTCGCAATCGCTACGGGCCCTCATAGTTGCCAGGGCTCCAGCCGCCGCCTTGTTCCTCTGGGTTCCGCTGGGGGTGGTGGGTGGTTGCCTGCCTGGTGGAGGCATCGGTGGTGTAACAGAGACATTGGGCTTGGAGTAGACACGCGACATGACCTTGCTGTCGGCCAGTGGCTCCTGCAAGTCCTGTTTTACGGGGGCGGCGTTGCGAGAGTCATCGATAAGCTTGGAATCAGAAGTGGACCTTGGTAAAACGATTTTATCCAGATATGTACAATTGCCAGCTGTGACACCAGCAAATGGCAATTTGCGCTGGGCCGCTAAGCGTCGATTAAGCCTAGCCTCCACATCCATGAAGACTTCCGAAAATTCCAACCTTGTGTCCAGCTCCAGCTCCGCTTAGTCCAGCCTTTTCAACGATGTCTGGGCAGAATCAAATGCCAAGTTTTGTGCCTCGATCCATTTTAGTCGCGCAAGAATATCGGCCTCATCAAATTGATTAAAATTGCTGGCCACCAAATAATTCTTCATTGCGATGATTTGCCGAAAATAGGATTGCACTTTGGCCCGAAAGAATTCTATGTCACTAGGGCCATTTTGAGGCTGAAACTCGTTCACAAATTAAGGAATTTTATAAATCACACGAAAACATAAAAAATAAAAAGTAATTTGTGAACGGATTCACGATGCACGAAACACCCTGTGATTTAAAGCGCGAAAATGATAAGGCACCAAGCGTCACGAAAAGGTTACGGAACATTTGCATAAGTTGTTGTTGTTCTTGCACAGATTTTGCCCAAATAGCAAAAGCGAAAGAACTGATAAACACAGCGCGAAATGTAGGTACAAAATGCACTGTTTGTGTGTTTGTGACCGAATGCCAGCAAACGACGACAAATGTTTAAACGATATTAAACCGAAACGAAAGTTAAGTTGCAGACTCCGATTAAAATGAAAATCACGCGAACGAATATCACGTCGGGATCACCAAAATGTTTGTGGGGAAGACAACGAATATGCCACCCTTGTAAATAATAAACGCACGAGTAGGTTTAAATTATTTGAGTATTTATTTGGAGCTGCAACTCGACGTAATCATCATCTAGACTCCCCTACCCCCATGTCATCCAAAATAAGCAATACATGACCCCCGCCCACACATAGTCTTTACGTAATACTTGAACAACCCCTTAAGTAATAAACCGGTAGTTAATATTGCTTTCTCCGAAATCTAAAAGTGTAAAGTCTGTATTTTTTGAGATTTAAGAAAATATTTTTGACTTGAGATTCTGTTTGGTAGTTACTACAACCGTTCCAAATCGTACACCATTTTTTCTCTTAGTAGTTGGTAAAACCTATTTTCACCAAAATTCAAGCAGTTGTTGTGCCATTCCAATGCACACCCATCGAAATTAAGGAAGACTTTTAATAGGATTTTATTTCATGTGCACATGTTCCTTGTGGGACTTCAGGAAGTGTTTAGTGAAAATTCAAGATATTTAAACCGTGGTTCTCGCATCAAAAAGTCATTACCACCAGTATCTGTCACATTTATTCCAGAGAAAAATGCTTTCTAAGACAGTTAAGATAACAAGCAGCATGATGTTCCACAATTAATAACATTGCTCTGCAAATTTCAACTTTTGCGCTGCGAATAAGTTGCGATATAGTGTTTCCGAAAGCTTTTTGGTAATACTTCGGAATTTTGACTCCAGCTATATCTCAGCCCCAAAAAAACTTGGGAACCAAATCAAGGGTTTTTTCGTAAGTTAATAACCCCCTTAGGAGGGGCAGATGGTTTTTTACCTTTTTACATAACGTGCATGTTAGAGTTTTCCGCTGATTTTCCGAGTAAATTTCCCTTTTTCAAGGTAAAAAACCTTCTGCCCCTCTTAAGGGGGTTATTATCTTATGAAAAAACCCTTGATTTGGTTCCCAGGTTTTTTTGGGGCTTAAATATAGCTGAAGTCAAAATTCCGAAGTATTACCAGGTTTTTTCGTGCTGATCACGAATCCGGAGTCAAAATTTTCCAAAAGCCAGGACTGTCGGCTCAGAAGGTGTTGCTGAGTGTATGGTGGGATATCAGAGGAATTATCTATTATGAAGTATTGCCCTATGGCCAAACCATCAATTTTGACATCTACTGTGAACAACTGATGCGATTGAAGATTGCACTTGAACAGAAGCGGCCAGCCATGGTGAATCGTAAGGGCGTTGTGTTCCATCATGACAACGCCAGGCCCCATACATATTTGGTGACGCGACACAAGCTACGGGAGCTTGGTTGGAAAGTGTTTATGCATCCACCTTATAGTCCGGACATTGCCCCAAGCGATTACTATCTGTTTTTGGACATGCAAAATTTTTTCGATGGACAAAAATTGAGTTCAAGGGAGGATTGTGAAAATCGAATCGCCGAGTTTTTTGTCAGTAGGGACAAGGACTTCTTTAGGAGAGGCATATACAAGTTACCATCAAAATGGCAGAAAATCATTGAAGACAACGATACATATAGCACTTAAATCAGACAATGCTAACTATGTTAAAATCTTCGTCAAAAATCAATAAAGAAACCGGTATGTCATTACCAAACATCCTAATATATACTTTATGGGGTCTGAGGTGTCTCCTTCTCTGCATTGCAAACTTCTGGCCAAAATTATAATACCCTTTGCTCTGCAAGGGTATAAAAAACGGGACGTCCTGCCAAAATCGGGACGTCTGGCAACGCTGATAAATACCCATATATTTTCAATGTTATAAATAATAAATCATTTTGTCTAATAAATAATAATCTGCAAATGAATAGAAAAAAAACTTGCTTTTCAACATATCTTATTAGACAGATATTCATATCAATACTATAATCGTCAAGCTAGGTTGGCTTATTATTATTGGGTTTTAAAATTTATTATAAAAAGACGACACTCATAATTGTTAAGCTAAGCATATCGGACTTTCTAACATTGCAAAAACGCTTTCTTTTCAGTGCGGAAAACAATTCAATATAAAGAACGTTGACCAGATTCAAAAATGTTTTGATAGTGGCCATGGAGTGGAGCTGCTCAAACTAAATGGATATGCCACACATGCACTTAGACCTCCTGTAACGTTTATTCCAACTATTACAATAGACGGGTCCCAGCGAAGGCAAGCTTCAATTTTAAAAGATTTTTTTTCTGAAGTGTGCAAAGCGGCCGGAGATTCAGAAAAAGCAAAAAATTTATGCAAAAACAAAAGATTGTAGTTTTTTTCAATAACCTTAAAGGTTAATGACTGTTTCTAGGTTTCCTGTAAATTTGTTTTTGAAATGCCACCAATTTATCAAATATAATATACGAAAGTATTTCGAGAAAATATTTGAGCTTTTCATTTTTCCAAAAGAAAGAAATGATGTAACTTTGTAATTAATATTTAAGAATCCATAAATAAAATTGGTGAATATTGAATTGGTGAAATTTATCTTAATTTAAACGAAAAGGTAGTTTAATGACTTTTTAATGCGGAATTTTGTAACGGATTCTGCAGTCTACAAACTTTTTTTTGGTTTTCTTTGTATTTTCACCGTACATTTTTTCTATAATGAGCATATTATTAAGGTTACCAATAAGCTAAAATTCGCTAAATGTTAAAACAAGAGATGCTCGTCGGCATCTGTTAGAGCTACAGTTACAGTTGACCAAATAGCTGCCAGACTTGAAAGGGCAGACTTTGTCGCCTATGGGGGCTTGCATAGCACTGAAGCATGCCTGGGAAAAATGGAACTTTACTACCAACTACAGGATATACCCTGCTTACAATTAACTCATATACCGCCAAAAACAGATGCAAAGCCATCCATAATTGAATTAGGTTACATTGTTCATAAAAACTAAGCGCACAAAAATGCGTCGACTTCACAGTAATTGGCAGACCCACCAGTATCAGATTATCTCGCAAGTTGTCTTAAGCTTAATTTTTATAATTTGAATTTAATTTTCTCTTTAACTTAATTTAATTTTTCCTCTTTCCTAACAAAGAGCCTCTTATCTACACTTCTTCTAGCCTCATCCGCCAACCAACTTATTTACTTTAGGGAGTGTTCCACCGGCATATACTTCTTTTCAATAACTCTTCAGCACAGTAATGAAAACCATTAATAAAACATATTTCTAAAACGTACTGGTCAAGACTTAATCTCGACCCAAATTAAATTCCAATTTGCCGGTTTTTGCAATATCTACCTAAAAACATTTTAAATAGAGCGAATTTCCTCACAGCATTGCCCTATTCCTAGATCGATGGCCTAGTCTACACAATCAAGATCTCCCGAAAAAGATATAATAAAATGTATTTTAAGTGCTGAACATTTAAATGAAATGATATGCTTTACTTAAAGTTGATACGGAACATCGAATTTCACGAAAATACGATCGAACGATGTGAAGACTAGTCCATTATTGAAAATCTTTTTCTCTAGATGCGACGCACTGGAATCTGGTCAATCTACTCCCAAGGCTTACCGGAGACGCGTCGACACGTCATTAGAAATGGATCGAACTCGCGATAAAGATTTGTATTTATTGTACCCAGCGGCACTCGATCATGGCCTGCATTTAATTTCAATGAATGGAAATACGAAATCGTCGATCATTCGTAAGACTTCACAGATGTCGTCAAGCAAGGTAGCTATACCTAAGTTGAGATGCCTGCTCTGCAAAGGATCAATCAAAAAAACAAGCCGGAAACGGAATTTTTCCGAAAAGACTTCGTTTTTTGGTCGAATGCTGACCTCAAGAACTATTGTGGCGGACAGATACGGAAAGTAGACGGGTTGTCGAATCATTCTGGACTTATACTTACCGCAGAGGCGTTCATTCAATACATCAGCTTTTATCGTAGCCACACGCACATTTTTGTTACTGGTCTTTCTTCGCAAGCCGCGGTTACATCTCTCGGGAGTACCAACATTTTAATAAAATCAAGAGAATCACCGGAAGTCCAGACAGTTAAATTCTTAATATTGAGTTCTTTAACTACTTCCATATGCAACCAATACTCGACCCGTCGTATCAGCAGACTTAAAATCGCTTTGCCATGTGAGAAAGAGGATGATGAGGAACCTCTTTTGCATTGCCGGTTGTTGACTGTAGCCAATAGGCAAGCGCTATCCCTCGTTCTGGCAGTTAAAGTTCTTTCACAGCTGGTACTAACGCCACCGATAATCACGTGAAGCTTCCACGCTATTAAAAATATTATCATCAACAGACGTGGACTAAGCCTAAAGTACCATTGTACTCACTAAAGGCATTTCGATATAATTATAATATATTGTAACTCACTGGGATGGCTGTCATTCGTACCGAGTAAAGTTATCTGATCACGGTCAATTTGGTGGCCGCCAGAGCGATCTCTGTCTATGAATGATTTCAAGGTTCTCCTCCTCGCGGTGCCTCCTGGGTAGCTACTTCAGCATATGCAAATAGTGAGCTATAGTGTGCAGCGAGTCACCCGGACATTAAACGGTTGAGCGCAGGGTTTGAAACCCGCCTCATAGAAGCCCAGTGAAGACTAAAGCAAAAGCCTCGGATAAGATTCCCTCTTATGTAGACGACCACCGCAAATTGAAAAAGGACTATGATTTGAGGATACGCACCTGAAGAGTCCGAACCCTTAAGGGGCACAACTAGTGTGACATTTCAAAAAAATCTTTTTTTTCTTTCATATTTCGGTAGATTACACCTTTAAAAATAACATATTAAAATTTCAAATCGATATCTTAAATAGTTTTTGAGTTATAGCAATTTTAAGAGCAGCCGCTCGCGAATACGATCATTTTATCTTTAAACGCGTTTTTCTCGAAACAGCATTTTCCGAATTTGCTGCAGTGATAACTCAAAAACTAATGATCCGATCACTATTAAATTTTTTTACATTTTCTATATATAGTTCTCCCTACAATGACCTATCGATTTTTTGATCCGATCAAAAATCAAATTTTGGCAGGCAAAAACGACCAAAATTTTGGGTAAAATTCGTTTTTTTTTTTTAAACACCGCCATTTAGTCAATTTTTGATATTTTTATTTATCGTAGGTCATTGTATAGACAATATCATTTAGTTTAACGAGAATTTTTCATTTTTTGATTTCATCCACGGAGAGGGCCGGAATCAGTTAAGGCACTTTTTTTTTAACGCCGTTGGAGTTCGGCTCTAACTTAAAAAATATTTAATTTGTTTCTTTAAAAATTTCACTGTATATTCTTCAAACTTGTATAAAAATATTCTGAAAATTTTAAAATAATTGATCAAGTAGTTTTTTTTAAATAAAAATTCCCATAAATCACCTTTTTTTTTAGGCCGTCACACTAGTTGTGCCCCTTAATTGGGATGGCGCCTCTATCCAACTTCCACATGCCCTTGAAAAATTAAAGGCTAACATTACCGCCATCCAGGAAATGAGACAGACAGGACAAGGTGGCTCCAAGCGAGCAAAACTGCGATATATACTACAGCTACCTTGCGGAGAGGCGCGAATTTCACCCCAGTGGGTGAACGGCTGCCTACAATCCGCGCCAAAGCTAGATTTTTAAATCTTATCTTAAAATTTTTTTATACGACCGATGCCCAGATCACGACGTGAAGATCAACGTCGGAACTTCAACGCAAAGGTTGGGCGTGAGGCCATCTTTGACCCTGCCGTCGGACGATTCAGCCTTCATGTGACCACCTCGAACAACGGTCTCAGGCTGATTGACTTCGCCCCGGCGCGAAACATGGTTGTGAGTAGCACCAGATTTCGGCACCGCGACATCCACAAGTCCACATAGCTGTCCCCTGATCAATGAAATCGCAACCAAATAGATCACTTTGTGATAGGCGGAACGCATGCCTCAAGCGTGATGGACGTGAGTTCGTTTTGATGACGTTGACTCGGAACACTAACTTGTTGCAGCCAAGATACGTACCAAAAACGTACACCCCATTACGCAACGAAGGCTTGACATCACCAGGCTGCGATCACAACGGACAGCAATGGCCTTTTCCACTCACCTTTCGGAACTGCTACACCAACTTCACCCTCTCCATGTTGACGCCGGCGAACTCTGGGCGCACATATCCCACTCCATGCGAGCTGCTGCTGAAATAAGCATTGGGTTCAAATGCCCACCCACGCGGAACCAATGGTATACCGAGGAGTGTCGCTTCGCAACTGCGGAAAAAAACGCCGCCTACAGAAAAACCTGAGCCTGGCGTATTGCCCGGCGGGTCCTGACCGAGTCTACACATACGAGTCCCCTTCCGAGGGAACGTGACCTCGGCGGGGAAGGGTCAAGAATCAGACGCATACCGGAGAGCCTTCCAGACTATGATCCGGTGCACGCTTGGTTCGTCTAGTGGCGAGGGTTACGTCGTGGTGTGACAAGCCGCGAAGGACGAGCAGTTAAACTGCACGGGTGTTAAAGGCGTATACGCCGAGAACCCTGCGGTATCTGCCAGAGTCCTGAGAATTAAGTAAGCGTCCGGTGGACTGGCCGGGACAGAGCAAGGGACAGGAGTTGCAATGGGCATACGCCTGGAGAACACGGCATCTGTTCACCATAGTCTGAGAACGGTGACGCTTCCCGAAGCCCAGATAGTCTAACTCCCCACTAGCGTGATCTTTGGAATGCCTGACACACCCAGAGGAGGCGTCTCGAGGAACATACCAAAACCAGTATCCTGTCGGATAGAGATCGAATAAATACTTTGAAATCGGAGAAAAATTGTCTCTTCTTTACCGGTTGGGCAATCACGTTATATAAATTTGGTGGGACGAACGCATAAAATCTTCTGAGCTAGCCGCACAATTCCATAGCGAGCACAAAACAACAAAATCAGTTCGTTACAATATGATAATACACCTCCCTATCTTGTAATTATTTTGGGACGGACGGATTATTTTGGCTCCTCCTTGCCGAGCTTACGTGGTATGTTGACAGGTCTTCGAGGTTGGTCCCGAATCATTCTGTCGGCTGTGGCCTTGCCCGAATGTCCAGCTCGTGGGATTTTTTTTCCTATCGGTTCATTGGATGGACTGACCTCTCTAACGCGTGGGAGTGACCATATAGGAGCGTTAAATTTGTCCGCGTGTGCGAGTTTCGTAAGAAGGCAAAAGCACCGATCTTCAGGATGTAAGTCGGGATCGGCCATAAGATAGAAACGGAATCCCCATTCCAGAAGCTCTACATTGACTTCCTGGGAAGGTATCCGAGCTAGAAAAATGGTCACGCCTGGATCTTTATTGTGGTAGACCATTTCTCCAAGTATACTTTCCTGAAAACCATGAATGCCGCGACGGTGCGAATGTGATCAACTTTCTGGTGAGCGAGGTATTCTATAAGACCTTGAGATGGCCGGGATGCGGACAAGGACCAGTTGCGGATAATCAACGCTAAGGTGCAGAAGCAGCTTGCGGGCACGTATAAGA